AAATGAGTTAACCCCTCAAAATGAGGAGTTTACTAATACTCCTATTTAGAAGGATTAAGAGTTAACCCTTCTAATGATAAAGAAAATAGTCAAAATCATTGTTATTCTCAAACACTAAAACTGATCACAATGACTAAAATAAAACAATAGTCAAAATCATTGTTATTCTCAAACACTAAAACTGATCACAATGACTAAAATAAAACTTATTTAACAGGTTAATAATTTAGTCCTTCAGATTATCATAAAATAAAACTTATTTAACAGGTTAATAATTTAGTCCTTCAGATTATCAAATGGGCTAAGTACATTAATTCTTCTTTTTAACCCCTCTTCCTTAACCCTTTTGCCAAACGGGGCCTAAGTATATTTACCACTGGAATTTGTTAGGAGTAGGACGACATCTGATCATTCATTTTATTAGGGTCTAAATCTTTAATCTATATCAATACTATTTATAAAAGAGGATTGGGGTGTTAAAACTTTTGATCGACTCCTTTATCCCTCTAAAATTTGATAATTTCCCAATAATGCCTTGAAATTTATTTAATTCATTCTATTTATTACACTATAATTATTCATGCAATAAACATAAGAACCAATATTAAAAACTAAATATATATTATAAAATTTAATCATATTCCCCAAATTTTATTCACATTCTATTTATTACATTATAATTATTCTTGCAATAAACATAAGAACTAATATATATCATAAATTTTAACCATGTTAGTCTAATGATAAATAAGATAAATATTTCACTTTAGATATTAAGCATTATACAATAAATATACAATTTTAATATTTAAGATAATAATATGATAACCTATATTTATAAATTATGTTGTAATTTAAGATAATTTAATATTTAATTAAAAATCTAATGTCTAATCTAATACTATAATATATTAATATGTGTCTCTGATATATGAAAATTTTGTGGAGAGGAATACTAATATAAATGTTAATCTCTTAGTGGATGTAGTGTAGAAATAGCATGTAAAACTATCATATTATATTACTAACTGTTGCAATATACTTATCATAATATTTAGATACAATGTAATTCTGAGCATGCGGATTTCCAAGCAGTATGAGAAGCTATTACATTTGCTCTTAACACTGGATGTGTAAATGTAATTTTCAAAGAAGATGTGGAGGTGGTAATTAGAGATATCTAAAATGGTGCGAAGTAACACTCGATTTTAGACACTTTGTGGATGATATTCAACAATGTTGCACATGACTCAAGGAATAGGATTTTTAGATTGTTTGTTAAACGAGCAATGTAACGGCTCATGTGTTGGTCCGAAGAGCTAAGAAAATTAATGATTTTGTAGTATGGCTCGAATACCCACTACTGTTTTTACACAATATTCTGTAGTCTGATAAGGATCAGTGTTTGTCCACATTCTTTTGTTGTAATTTTAGGTTTTCAGTTTAGTTTGGATGTGTCTTAATATATTTTTCCCATAAAAAACTATTGCAATATAATAATTAGATCCTACTAACAAATTAATTTATGACATCTACCCTTCTAAACCTACTAATAATGCATTTAATATGAATAGTAGTGAGAAATGAATCCATAATTAAAGTGTCCATGTATTTTCTCTAATTGACTAATCAAATTCTATTAATTAATTGTGCACTAATTATTTCATGACTAATCTACTTCGTTCCACTTGGACCTCAATAGTTGCATAAATTATATTATATATAGATGCTCAAATGCACAAAAAAAACAATATAAAAGTATATAAAAAAGAGGAAGTGAGAATTTTGACAGTGTAGTCAGTCTCTCGATTATATTAACCGGAATGCATCACAGTCAATAAGATTTTGCAAGTGATAATTGAGAGAGAAGATTATATTGTTTTTCTTTTGAGGAAACAAACATGTCTACGACCGAGTTTACCTCCCATTTATGAAAAAAAAGCCATCAATCTATTAGTTATACAAGTATACAAATTCATGGAGAGAAAAAACTCATATAAATGTCAATAAATTGCCTTTCAAATGTTTAGCCTCATATCGTCACTGAATATATATTACGTGCAAAGCACGTGCTACATACTAGTATTTTGAAATTAGGCTTGCAAATCATTAAAAATTGCTGCTAGGTCCCTTAATTCACACATCTTGTTAGTTGCTACTGCTACTCTTGAGTGTACTCTTGATGAGAGGGTTGATTGAAAGAACTTCCATGAATTGAGGAGGGCCTAATAACAATTTTAATGATTTCGGACCACAAATGCTTAAACAACTTTTGAGATTTATCTAATAGTAATTTTAATTAAATTTGAGGCACTCATTTCAAAATATTATTTGTAAAATGGACTTATGTAAATAAATAAATAAATAAAACACTTACTTATTAGAAATGATCAATCACGGCCACCTAACTACTACTAGATAATTATAATTGAAAAAGTGTGCCTTTTATAATTCACGCTATCCAAAAATATATAAATAGCCAAAATAGGGGAGCTTGTCGCGCACAAGTAGCTTCTTTACTATGAAGTTTGAAACTAATTAAGAAACATCTATTTACTTTCTTTGCTATGAAGTTTGTCAGTAAGAAATATCTACAAGCAAATTCACAAAAACAAAAGAAAAAAAAAAGAAAAAGAAAAAGAAAAAGGCCAGGAATTTGTGGGAAGAACTTACGTAAGATGACAACATTTTCCTTTTTTTTTTTCAGTTTGAAACTATACAAGGAAACAATGTAGCGTGGTACGCAATGAGCTGGCGGGTTGGTTTCTATTGAGCATTTTGTCAAAGTGACACTTTAACTGAATTTGGCATTGCACGACACGACACACATTGTTATTTTAAGTACGAAAATATCAATCCATTGTCCTAAAATGGCAAAGTACGAGTCTTTTTGGATGAATACTCTATTGTTTCACAGTAAATACTCTGAGTTGTAAAAAAGGTAATATTTTAATATTCTAAATTCTAAAAAATAGCCCTTTAATATTTTAAATTGTAAAAAAATAGCAAGTTATTTAGTAACTTTTTTGTAACTATATTAACCATATTTATTGTTATATTTATCACTATACCTACTCTTTATCTTTTTATTAATTTCTATTGAGGGATATTTTTTTCCATAACCAAGTTTTTAATGGTGTTCAACATATTCTAACGGTGAACAACTCAGGATATGTGCTACTTTTACAACTTGGTGTATTAAAGTATTAAGATGATGAACGATAGGATATTTATGTGACATTTAGCCTTTTTTTATACAAGGATCTCAACTGAAAAAACATGGAGGGATAATTAAAATGCAATGGTCTGAGGTACAAAAGGAAACGGTGGAAATCAGATTCGTGGTAACTAACTAGGCAAATGATTGTCTTTTCAAGTTAATTAAAGGTGGAAATATTATCTCTTGTCATTCAATTGAAGTTGAGTTTGGTCGAGTATAATCATGAGGTGAGGTTTAATCTTATATCATAAAGATAGTTAATTAGATGGAACACTGTTAAATAAATTTAATCTCGTGATTCATACTATAACGAGATTCCAACAATATATAAGAAAATATGTTGACCATGCAAAGCGAATTCTTCAATCATAGTTGCATCCGAGAGGAAACGCACAAGCAGAAAAATTAAAGGAGCTCGAAATTGTAAGACCGTACGTCTACGCCTCCTGCTTAACACTCGTCATTATTGAAGAAGTAATAAAATTAAAGGGCTAATGACTTTGGACATCATTGACAAGTTCAAAGGACGTATTAGCATACTGCATATATACCTGTCAAAAAATTTTCTAAAGCTGAACTGTTGCTCATGGTAAACTAATGAAATATAAATTTTAGAGGTCATTATCAAGTCGGTAATTAACCAAATTTATTTTGTATAATTCCGTGCTTTCACTCTCATTAATTAGACCAATCGGCTGTCCTATTACCTTTTATTATTTTTATTTTTATTTTTATTTTTGTCTTTTCATCTTTTTTCCCTTCTTCCTCTGCATTCGGAATATTTCTCCTATCATGGGATTTTCTCTCCCTCATTTATCTTTTTCCTACTTCAATCAATTAATAGAGAAATTGGCATTTCAATTCAATTTCTTTTCATCAGTAAGTTTCTTTCTTTTGATGTTTATTCTACTAATTTCGGGGTTTTTTTCTTCATGCTTTAAAAATGCTTTATTCAATACTCACTTGAGGAACTAGTAACAGATGTTGTTGATTAAAGACGGAATTTGGGCACATCATCCATAATTCCCTAAGTATAACTTGTCAGTTGGACCATCTTCTCATCCTATCTTTAATGTAAATGTCTTTGTGCATTAAGTATATCAACAGCTTGATGTTGTAAGTTTCTAGACGTTGATGAGATTATTTTTGTCGCTGGGACTATTTTATTCAACTAATGACGCCAAATAGAGTTTGAATATTAGTTCAATGGGATTGGCAGCTATCATATAATTTTACTGAAATATAACAAATATCTTAACCTTTTGTCATTTATATAGTCAAATATGGATTGAATCAGCAAAATTTTCAACTGCCGGCTCTCTCTGCACGAAAAGTTCGCAAAAAAGTTAGCATACGTACATTTACAAGCACTGACCAAATCTACAAGCAATCTTACTCTATATCTGAAAATGGCATCTCAGACTTGTTGTTCGGGTGCAATTTCATTTTCTGTACAGCCGTACTCAACCTCTAGGGGGCGGCGTTTTGTATTACTGACAGCACATACAAATTATTCTGTGTGACTATTACTCACAAGACGTAACTAAGGCTCATACACAGCGCAATCTTCACGCCTCCGTGCAATTATACCGATTTTTTACAAAACGACAACCAAATATATTTATTCACAAAGAGCTAAATAGAACAGCGCAGGGTAGACGAAAGTCACGCTTGAAATCTGAATCATATAGTAGCTGCCGACTGAGAAGGAACAAAGGCATAAAGATCCATAAGCGTACTGAAAGTATGCCGGCCGATGAGTTTTAGGGAATATCACTAGAGGAACCAAGCTACAATGTAGCTACTATATAAATATGTTACTATATGAGAATGAAATCAATGTGTCAAAATCATGAATGATCAACAATATTAGAAACATGAGGATGCTAGTATGGCTTGGGGACTGGGCATTTTATTCGTCTAATGATGGGTCACCAGCAACCCCCTTGTAATGACTCCAGACATACCGTTCCCAATTAACAACTCTTTCTACCATTTTACACTTCATTGCTAAAATAAAATCCTGATATAAAGTACAAATATGCTACATTATTAGCCTCAAGGTGACCTCTTTCATCGACAACACTTTGCATTTTGACATTACAAACTGGAGTCGCTTGAGCCCTTGCGACTTCATGGTTTCGCCTCGAGAAGAACAGAAGAATATGGAGCAACATTGTACACAGTCTCAACAAATGGGATGCCTTCAGAGACGAAATCATTGGGAGCTTCAAGATTTGTGTCCACCTGCAATATGATAACAATGTATACATGGTACAATTATAGAGGTGTTAATAGACAGGCTTTACTGGATTCCATCAAGGAATTCTTTCAGATGCGAAATTTTGAAAGTAAGATACTGATAACCAGTTCAAGGAGAGACCCTGATAAATTAAGTTTTACCTTTCCTTCATCAAATTGTATAAATTTTAACTGGTCAAAAAAGGATAACAATAATGATCGAGTTCCTATCCCGGCTTTTGGGCCCTACAAAATGCATCCTTTTCATTATTCACATGCTAAAATGAAAAGAGATATGTAATTAAAGCCAGTGTAATTTCCTGCAGTAAAAGTTGTTCCCGAGTTTTTCCTTCTCCCTTCAAACTGTATCAAATCAACAAACAACCTTCTCTCCAACCATGAAAAGATGAAGGTCAACATGTTTCATCCAAATTTCTAGGCCTGCAGTGAAAATCCTTTCACCATTTAACACACTTAGGCTAGGCTCCCTCTCCTCGATTAAAATTTCAACTTTCATCTGATATTTCCTCCTCAATTCATTTTCGTTTTGATATATCCCTAAGCTACCTACAGCTCCTTCAAATGCAGTCCTGTTCTTGCCTTAATTAAACTGGTCTTATTCAAAATTGAAGCTGCTTTGGACTTATGAATTGGCTACAAACACACTTATAATACCCTCTAGTGGCTTCTACTAAATCATCTCGACATGGATATTTCACCTTCTATTATGACTAACAACAACGATGATGATAATGGTAAATGATAGTAAGGCAGTAAAAACAATAAACCAATTAAATGCTATGCGCCTATTAAGTGGAAAGATGATAGTTCTTTGTGAGAGGAGACTTGCCTGGAGCTCATGGGTGAGTTGATGAGCCTTCGAAGTTTCAACACTAAAGGAAAAAGCCAATAAACATGACCCTACAATGGTAGAAGGGTTCGGCCGCTCCTAGTGCCTTTAATTGAATGTAGGGGTGTTTCCATTGTCCCATACTTTAAAAAGAAGAATTAAAAACAATATTCCACTATAAATTATGTAGGATAGCTGCCTAAGAAATTCAGGTCAACTACACTTTAACACATGAAATTGCAATGTAGCTATGACTTGTGAGTTATAGTTGAAAAGAATGATAATTTTAATCTTTAAAGTTCAGCGTTCAATGATGATGACATATGTGGAAATTTTAGCTGAAAAAACAAGTTTCACAAGCAATGATAAAGATCTGAAACATGGAAAAGATCTGAAACATTGATCAGATGGAAATATTTGACAATTAATTGTATGACGGGAAAAGCGTGTATCCATCGCAAAACATTTCAGCAATTAAAAGTGTAAAGAAGTATAATCTCAATTGATAAGATATTGAAAAGCAAGGAGAAAAGCATACCACACGGTGCCAACTCCTCTTATGTGGCGGCGAGGGTATTATAGCTTTGACAAAGAAGTCATGTGCATTAAATGCCAAGTAGATGTCCCCTCCAGCTCTATCATCATGGAGCCTATTACATTCCCAATCTCATTAAAGGCATTCAAAGTGAGATGATGACCTAGTTGTCTATTAGGTTGCATTTTCCAAATAGACTGTATTAGGGAAGTATGGGTACCATTTTCTGGCATGAACAAAATAGCTTCAGCATACTGAAGTTTAGATAAGTGGGTAGTTGAGATAAACCAAACCAGTTGAGTTCTCCAACCATTATAAAATAAGAGGCCTACTTTTCTTACCAGCCTTACCCTGCCCATTTACATACCCAAGATAGAAGCAGGCTAGCCCCACATCACCTCAGTGTTGGTGTAATGCAAGGGACAACCTCCTGCTTATCGATTGGGCATGGAGATGGCTAAGGCATGCTGGGCTAGGAATATATTTTGAATAAAGTAAAGGGATTTCCTTCTCTTACGTGAAGGCCAAGAATTTGCTCTCATGGTTTTCCCAATTATCCTCATGCCAGGTAACATCATTCTGCACAAGCAAAATTTTTATTGCAAAAATTTGAATGAGAGAATATTTCACGGTTCAGATAATATGTTGTGAATTTTTAATAGGAAATACAATAATTTAGTGCAAGAAATGATTTGGTTCCTAATGTTAATTTTTGATGAATAACAAGTTATGCAAATCATGCATAGAATCGTTGTTAATATGCTCTGGATTAATATTTTCATAGAACTAGTTTAGAAAAAAATTTACTTCATCATCTTGTGGTATACTCTTTTCTCAGACGAAGATTTACCTTATGTCAGTCCTAAGGTCGAGGTAAGTAAGCTAGTGGAACAGTAGACAATCAAACATACCAGAAAAAGTATCAGCTGCAGTTAAGTTTAGATTAGTGCCAGTTAAAAAAAATGCAAACAATGAGCCACTGCAAACACCATACAAGGCCAACTATATTGAACAAAACAATCTTTATTTTGTCAGAGATGATCCGGAACAAAGACTTATTTGTCATGCTGCATATATTCTGTATGATCTACAATGATAAGGGCAACAAAGCCTTTATCCCAAAATTTGGGGTCAGTTATATGAATCCTATTGTTCCATTCAGTTCTATTATATCACCGCACTTAAGTTAATCATCACCATATCCTTCTTAATTGCTTCTAATGTATGACAGAAAAATATACAAACAAATTCTGATGCACTTTTGCACATATAAGTAACATAGTTTAGCATGTAAAATTATAAGCTTAAAAGATTCTTATACTGAAGACAGATGTTCATCAAAATGACAAAAATGGTGTCTAATATTATAATCATTTATACCAGAAACAGGTCATTTTGATTAATTAAGATTCAGCCTAGATATATTACTCAGACATGCACACACGCATACATCCAGAAACATCCATCATAAAAACGAAAACGGAATCTACTATTAGCTTTATATGAAGATCTTGCAACGCCAACCTTGTTAAGGAATCTATCACGCCTCAGTATAGGATGATTTTGACGAAACTTTATCATCTCTGAGAAGAATCTGAAATGATCACCCTTTCTCTCTTCCAGCTATTCTAGCAAACAAAATGAATTAGCTTGAGGACTACTGAGAAAGAAGAGAAAAATAGATACTCACCTGTCCCCATTGAAAATGGTTTATTTCAGTATCATGTCCGTAGCTATTGTTATTTCCATAGCGTGTGTGACCATATTCATCACCCATCAGCATCATTGGTCTTCCCTGTTTATAAGCCACAATGACCAATATTGAAATGTGCAAATGCTCTCGATTAATAGTAAAGTCATGAATATGATGACTACAAAATTGCAGCCACGACTAACAGAAGAAGGAAAAAGTGTTTCTTCTATATTTTTCTCTTTCTCAATGGTAGCAAATTACAGAATGTAGACTAAAGTTTTCCACTTCTATTTTTAAGTGTGTCGACTTATATTCATTTGTTAAGTCAAATTCATGAGAGAGAATAATGACTAACGTGCAGTTCATGAAAAAAAGAGAGTATTTTATCCAGTGCAATATATCATCTTCCAAAGAGACCATGAGAAATCTGGATGCTAATGGAAGAACTCAAAAGGACTTCTACATGAAATTAGCCAAAACTTTGCTTCCAGGTCATAAATTGATGAATAGATACTTCAACAATTTTCAACGCTACCTTGTCATGCCATTCTTGTAAGAATTTCCAGGCTCAGAAAATAATCTGCTTCAGGTTCACATATAACAGATATGGGAAATAGGAAACACTAACGTTTTAAAATGAGGGAAACTTAAAACCTTAAACCAAACCATGTCAGTAATAATTGAACTATTTCAAGCTCAGAATACATAAACTGCTTACCTGAGAAATCATTAATGCTACATGGAAGTTCTTCATTTGTCTGGAACGTAAATTTATGATCTTCACATCATTTGTTTCACCTGCATAGTCAATACAACTATGAGGTCATGGTGATTACAAAATAAGCCAGTGACATTTTACCAAAATGATAACAATAAACAAAAGAATAAGCAACACTTACGCAAAATTAGAAGTCCAGAGCATTGGTCAAACCAACATTCAAGCAGAATAATAATGACGATAAGAGAACAAGCAACTTTTATGCACAATTGAGAAGACCCATAAACTTGATTATTTCCTGCTTTGGTTTCAGCATGATCTTGTGGATGTATTTGTCACTTGAAATAGTAGAGATAGATGCATTTGGGGCATATCCCACCAGATAGATGAAAGATGCATTATACAACTTGGATACTTATTAGTGGTAAAGCAACTCTGAACTTCCACGAGTTGCATCATAGAAGTGCACTCTACAGGAAAACTTGCCCAGAAGCTTAACAAGTTGACACTAATAAGAAGCTTCAAAGTGATTCTATCACAAAGTATGTCCTAGATCCATATGAAACCTTATTTTTAATACTTTATGACTCCCTCTTGTACCTTCAATTCGTCAAATGGTATACAACAGAAATTCTATTTCTGACAACTGTTTATTGAGCACAGGTCATCATTGGAAACTTCCCCACCAGCATCTGTGTGCCTTTCCATTTACATGGTCTACAAATAACAAATTCTTCCATGCTAAGTATCCATTGTGAAACATCAACACCATATGTAATCTTAGGATGATGCATATACCAACAAATATGCGTAAGCAATCCATTTGCATATTATATCATAACATGGGCATTTTCTTAGAGAATTTATAAGCAGCAATGAGGTCCGATAACCAGATACGAATCTGTTGACATATTAGTATAGTTAAGGGGGTTATTTGTAAGATGTGTTTGTAGGGGGCCTATATAAGCCCATGTTATCTCATTAATAAGATTAGAGTTTCAATTCTATATGGTATCAGAGCCAAACCCTAGCCGCCACCCCCT